TAGGCTGTAATTTCAAAACTTGCCTCAGGCGTTTGATCGTGTTAGATGTATTTAGAAGCCACTTGTTGTGCAAAGCTACTGTGCTATGGCTATTTGTGGAAGTAGGTACGAGCTAACATGCTATGTTAGCAGTAAACGCTAACCTGGCTGCTGTCAGTCTGCTGCCATATTATCTACAGTAGGGTGCAAACCCTATGGCACAACATTTGTAACAAAATAAATGCTAAAGTGTATTTTAATGCTATCTCATCCATATTTTATTGGAGAGACGATTGTGCTTGTTTAGCCAATGCTGTATTTTCTGTATTAAGATAAGGTTGAAATGTAACTTATATTGCCGTATGACAAACTCGACGTTATTGTGTGTTTTTTAAAAAAAAAATATTTTATACGATATTCTGTGCTTTTTTTGCTCATCTTGGGCGTAGACCCACGCCCTGTGCTATGACTGTACGGTAGTGTATAACTGACAGCTCCACTTTCAGCGTACGTTGCTGTGCTAAGCTAACGATAGCTGGAAAGGGCGTTGCTGAGCCATTGCTGCAACTTTGCCCTTGTGGCCACCTAAAGCCTGGAAATACATCACCCAGGTCAGATCTACGATAAATACATATTTTTCTGAACGTGTACCGTTTATAAGACGTTTTCGTGGGTGTTGATGTGCATGTTCAGTGCAACAATGAGCTACCTTGGTTTATGGGTTTACAAAAAAGGGTGGAGGCTCGAACAGATCAGGACTGAAAATCAGATCAATCGAGGCTAACTGTACTGATTTATTTGTTTGTTGGGCTGCATTTCGGCGTTGAACTGAAGGCCTAATGTGTTCTGAGCGTCAGCTACTGCGTAGTAAAATATTTGAAGGGAATTGTGTGTCCTGGCTAATTCTGGTTATAAATGAATGCAGAAGGATCCAATGTTCGTGTCCATAAATGAAAAATGTGCACGTCTTTCTGCCTGTACAGTTTGGAATATTGTGTCGGTTTAGCTACATTTAGCTAACTGCAAATTCAATCAGTTTTGCGTTTTCCAAACCACGTCCTTCTCTGGTGCATTAATAATCCTCATTACCATTTAAAATGTGACTCAGGTGCTAAATGAATAGCCCCCTTAGGTTGAACCTAGTTCACTTAGGGCACTTGAAATCAAGTCATATATTTTAACTTACCTTCCACAGATAATGAAGCCCTGCTAGATTTGATGAGAAATGGGGTAATCGTTTGTCCAGGCAACTGATTTGTAGTTTGTACTCATTAGTATTTTGGTTTTGTTTGTTCTGAAGGTCATTGCACAGCAATTTGACAAACACAACATGATGAATGAAAACATAATTGCAGCTATGGATAATATGGACGATAGTTGTAGAAATGGATTTTAAATTAGTGTTTTTTTGTTTACATAAAACTGGTAAAGGGAGTTGTTCATCTGTCCAGTCTGTTTTGGTTTGTTTGTCTAATTTGTTGGTTTCAGATTTCTTAATTTCTATTATTATTTTGATAATATCGATTAATCATAGGTGTTTTCATAGCAGTGATTAAGAGAATAGCTATTCTTATTTTTAAAACAATAAAAAGTTTGAGTGTGATTTTCTCAAAACACTTACTAAATTCAAAAGAAAAAAAGAGACCCAGCTAATCATTTTTAATTATTCTTTCTTTAGTCTTTTTTGGCATAGATTTGCTTTTTTCCTTTATGTTGATTTTGTTATTCACATGATTTTTTCTTCAGTCTGCGTAATTGTGTTTAGTCCATATATATTTTAAACCAACCCTGTTAGTTTACTGTAGAAAGGCACCAAGGCCCACGTTGTTTTTTGTATTTGTTGATAGCGTTTTTACTAAAACATTAAGCTACATTCACATAGAATGTGCAGCCTGACTCCTGCATGGAGAATGATGACATGCTGAGTAAAAATGTCTGTCACATCACGGCTGCTTGTTCTCAGTGTCGAGCGGCTGAAGCTCTGTGCTCAGAAGGAAAATGAGCCGTGGTCTGAAGAAGAAGCACATCATTGACGTCACAGCCTGCTGTTGTAGATAATTGAAGCTTAGTCAGACAAACCTTTCACTTTTTCATGTTTCACTGTCACAGCAGAGTTCATGCTGTTTGAACACATGTAGAAGGTGATATTGTGACAGGGTTTACGTCAGTCTTTGGTTATGGCTGGATACAGACGTCTTAGTGTCAGTCTGCTCGATCTTTTTACGATGCAGACAAAAACATTGTGTGGTTTTTAGCTTGTTTATGTTTAAAGATGTTTAATTGAACTCACTAATAGTTTTACTTTTATATTCTCTGGGAGCTGCTCCTTTTCAGTCTCTTAGATAAGTTTATTCTTTAGACTGTCCAAGGTCATGTCTTCAAATGTTCGGCTAAGTGGAAAATCACAATGTTCCAGCAAATAATAACCAATATTATCAACAGCTGAATGGTCATTGATGTTGAACATGTACTTGGTTTGAGCCGAGTGCAGTCACCTGGTCTGTGATGTTGTAAACACACTGCTATGATGGTGAAGCTTGTGACTTCATTACATCATTTAATAAATTGGAGACATTTTCTAAATGCATTTGTTGTGGTCTTTACATATTCTTTCAAATTTCTTGTTGCCTTTTTCAGCAGAGTCAGCAGTTGGAGAATCAGACAGGTCATAAAAAAAGAAAACTCTGTTTCCTTTTGATGAAATGTGTTTCACAGACTGGACCTTGAACCATTCCCTAATTTATGACCCTGTGACTGTTTTTTTTTTCCACTTAGATGCAATAAACCTAATAACAGTTCAAACATGACATTTGAGAAGCAACAGAAGCGTCAGATTCTTAGAACTACTTTGTTTGACATATTTGGTTCCTTTATTGAACTGGACTCTGTTTATTAACAGCGGTGATGAGTGATGTCATCATTCGGACATTGTTCTCTTTGGTCAAACAATTATGATGTGCTGAAATCTCCCTCTCCCTCGCTCTTTCTTTCTCTTTCTCTCTGGCGCTCCCTCACTCCCCACCCCCCCCTGTCTCCTCAGTCCACTCATCACATAAGCAGTGAAGGAGAGTTCTCTTTAGGACACTTCATGGGCTGAGGGTTTGTTGTCACTTCTGCTCAGAATAATTGAATCACAGTCGTGAAATTTAAGCTCTATAGCTTTTCCAGTTAAGTTTTTAATTATTCATATACGTTAATGATCATTTTTTCTTAAGAAGCCTCTGCTGGTTAACCGTCAGTCTCTGAATTACCAGACAAATGATGCAGACAGTTTATCCTGTTAGCTGTTGTGTTAGCTGTCATAGCATTGCACCGTCAGCATATGGTGGACTATTGGTCTCTCTCTCTCATTCTCTCTCTCTCTATCATGCGTCACCCACACACCCACCTGCTGGTGGACTTGAGGATGTCTGCCCTGGTGCCTAAGCTGCTTAGTGTGATTGTGATTCCATGTTACAGCAGTTTACAAATTCAGGAAGAGTTCATGGCAGGTTCTTCAGTCCCCACGTAGAGGGTCTTGGACCCTCTGCCCCAGTGGTTGATAAGACACATTATAATGTACAGTAAAGAGTCTAATGAACGTGACCCACAGTCTGGTCAATCTTAGATTCCTATTTTACCCACATCTTATTAAAGCATAAACATGATCTCATAATGTTTTCACATCCTTGACTGTGTTAGTTGTCTTTAAAAACCCATCCTCTGTCTCTCTTTTCTTAGGAGATGGGAATGTCTACTCAGTGAGTGTGATCTGGGTCGTTGTGAATGCTCTGGAACCTTCGTCACAACAGTTGATTGACGGCAGAACCTCGAGTTCTATCGCCACTTCCCGAGTCCCAGAAGGAAGGAAAACATAGAGGGATCTGAGCCTTGTCATCACACACTTCCTAACCAGTCTCCCTCGGTTCTTTGCCTCCCCCTTGTCTCCCCAGGAGGGAGAGAACAGCAGCCACCATGGTGCTGTCACAGAGACAAAGAGATCTCTCATGAGTGGCTGGATAAAAAAAAAAACTCTGAAGGTTCATTACACATGCAAACAAGAACAGACATGTTTTCCAACATGTGATTAGATCTCATGTCAGGGTGTGATCAAGTAGATGTACACACACACACACACACACACACACACACACACACTCCTACATTATCACTGTTGTGTAGTAATGATCTGCCTCTGAGGAAATGTCAAGTAGAACAGATGGATTCAGGCGCTGAGGGAAAGTGTAGTCAGTGACCAGAGAGAGTCATCGAGAAAAGAAAGGAGATAAGATGATGTCGGGCTTCAAGGTGCTCCACTTGATCGCCACTTGGTGAATATTTCATAAGTCAGAAGCAAAGAAATGAAGGGGGGGGATGGGACGAAAGGAGAAGAAGCTCAGGCAGTGGTCGTGTGTCTGTGCGGGTGGCGCTACCTGTCTGGTTGTAGCTACCTCTCTGGTTGTAACTACCTGTCTGGTTGTAGCTACCTGTCTGGTTGTAACTCCCTGTCTGGTTGTAGCTACCTGTCTGGTTGTAACTCCCTGTCTGGTTGTAGCTACCTGTCTGGTTGTAACTCCCTGTCTGGTTGTAGCTACCTGTCTGGTTGTAGCTACCTGTCTGGTTGTAGTCTGTGAGTTGTTCTTCATCTACAACTTTCATCTTGTTACTTTATGAACATGTGCAGTGGTGATGTTGGTACGATCTGAACGCTCTAATTAAAGTTCTCCTTAATTCAGTGGTCAAACGTTGTAGGGCTGTAATCTCCCAGTCCATTGGTCCAATTATTGGTTGAGACGTTCTGGGTCGACCAAAGTTTGGCATCATCCCTCAGATACACCCAGACCACACTGGATGTTAGGCTTCATCCAAACGCTTTTATTTTTCATGTTATTTCATTTATGCACTGGTCTTGACCTGGTTTAACTAACTTAGTCTGTTGGTGTGTTAACCATGAAGCTGAGCTCCTGCCTTCAGTCTCTGTAGTTCATTAGTTCTTGTAGGTGCAGTTGTCACACCGAGGGGATCAATAAATGAAACTCATTATATCTGTATTCTGTAGAACATCCTAAAAATGTCTTTATTTATGATCATGTTTTTTTTCTTCTGTCAGAAATCGTGCCATAGCTGATTATCTGCGTTCCAATGGATATGAAGAGGCCTACTCCACCTTCAAGAAAGAAGCAGAGTTAGATATGGTGAGAAACAGCAGATCCAGGTGACGTTTTAATCAAACCTTGAAGGTGTGGTTGTTTTTTTTACCGTCACTTTGTTTCCTGTGTTACAGAATGAAGAAGTAGATAAAAAGTACGCAGGGCTGTTGGAAAAGAAATGGACCTCAGTCATCAGATTACAGAAGAAGGTACGGAACACTTCATTCTCACTGGTGTTTTTTTACATTTGTGTGACATGAAACAAAAAGATCAGTTGAATTCAGTGGTTGTTTAGCAGTTCTCTCCGTACATCGTCTGTCGTCGACTGTTTTCTCCCTCCTTCCTGTTCGGGTGAAAATGAAGCGATTCTGTTTCAGCGTTGATCCAGACGTCATGTGTCAACGTCAGTTTAAACTGAACTGTGGAGTTTGTTTTTGGCCTCAGGTGATGGAGTTGGAGTCAAAGTTAAACGAGGCAAAGGAGGAGATGACACACGGTGGCTCAGTGGGTCTGAAGAGAGACCCTAAAGAGTGGATCCCCCGCCCCCCAGAGAGATACGCCCTGAGTGGACACCGTGCTCCAGTCACACGTGTCATTTTCCATCCGGTCTTCTCTGTGATGGTCACAGCCTCAGAAGACGCCACGATCAAGGTGTGAATTTACAGACTTCTCTCAGAACAGAACCAAAAACTTCACGTCTTTGTTCAAAGAATCTCTGAGCTGAATTGATCTGAATATTAGTCCAGTTTAGTCTGGTTTGATAAAAACTCTGCAGCCTTTAGAAGAAGGAGTGAGTTGTTAGAGTTGAACACCTCGGCCACTGCAGCTCTGACCCCTCACATCAAAGCTTTGCTGCAGATCTGATGCTGCTGGCCTCTTTTATCATCCCTGCTTCACCAGGCACCGTCGTCCAT